CTAGTGCACAGGTCACAGATTAGTGGACCTCAGTCTGGATCTGGAGCCCCCTGCTGGCTAATCCAGACCCCATTTATAAATTTCCGCATCTTTTCCGACTATGGTGTCTAAACGTCACTTGTGGCACTTCTCCTGTTAATACAGTAAAGCCCTCCAAAGCGTCAGGGACCATGTTACCCGTGATCCAAATGATCCAATGAGCTGCTGTCAGTCTGGGTTGCTGCTGCTGCTACTTTAAGCCGGGCGATGGGAAAGAAGGAGAAGATGATGAGAAAAAGAGAGCAGAGAAAGTGTGGACTGCTGGAAGAACTGCGGTGAACTGGTGAAAGAAAAGTGAAATGGTGCTCAAAGATGATCCTGCACATTTAGAGGATGTTTGGCTCAACCTGCTGCTGTGAAGCAGGATTCTCCTCCATCGGCGTCGCCAGACCCCATTTACTGGGGCACGTGCCCCAGTATAAATCTCATGAATATTTGCAACAGTAATAATTTTTTTAATCCATCAATTAAAATAATTCCATCTGGAGGAGACGTACATTTCTACTCCAAATTGAGGATGTAATAGCGCCCCCACGTCAGCACGTCACTGCATGAACTGCAGGTAAATTAACGCGCTGCTCTCAACTGAGTTGGATGGGACACTGTGCGGCCGCGACGCATTTTTAGTTCTGGTAACGTTTCTTACCCGTCAATTTTATTACTTTCCCAGTGAAACCACATGATTTATAGGCTACTAACTGAAAATGACTGCATTGGTTTGTAGATTGATATCAGGAAATTCCTCCCACGAAGCAGAGACAAGGAAGCAGTAAAACAAGATGAGAGGGAGGTAAGGTCCCGTGATGAATTAGTGATTTAAGCTAAGCAGTTACATTAGGGACGTTATAAGCAATATGATAGATATTTACATAATTATGGATTTATGTTTTTAAATGTTTGCTGTAGAGAATGAGAATGAAGGTGCTGGAGTAGGAAAGGGAGGAGGAGGAGAGACTGACGGGCAAGAGACAGGAGAGACAGGACCATGAATGTGATGAGGGAGCAACAACCAGCATCCACAAACAAGAAGGGGACATTAGTGACTTAGGGGGAAAGCATGATGGTCCTAAACAAGTGAAGTTGTCCCACTATCCCCAGGACAAATTTGGAGTAAAAAAACGTTCATTTAATTCAAAATGGTTTGAGCTTTTCCTGGTTAAAAAAGAAAGCCTTGTCATCAAGGATATGCAGTGTGTTTTCAAGTTGCTTGATAACATCATGTTCCCCACACTAACGCAGGTCATCCAGATCTCCCTCACAATCCCAGTCAACAGCTGTAGTTGTGAAAGGTCATTCAGTGTGTTGAGAAGGCTCCACACTTGGCTGAGGTGCACAATGGGACAAGACAGGCTCCATCATCTTGCTATTTTATCAGTTGAAAAGGAAGAACTTTCTAAGCTGAGTCACAAGTGATTGACCACTTTGCAAAAATGATAAATAGGAGGAACACTTTAATGCTCAATAAATAAAATAAAAACTTAGTTAATGTTGAGTTAAACTTTCACCTGAACTAAAACTCTGTAACCTAGGAATTAATGATTACTTCAGAATGTGTATAAGGAAACTTTTTATTTGTCAAAGTTGTTGATGTCTTATTTTTTTATAGCTGCAATGTTGAAAATGTTCATGTTTGTTAAAACAAATATGCTCTTACACTCATTAATATCTCAACTGGTAATTTTGGTAGGAATGTATCAGGGTGGGGCAGTGTGCTTGTCTGTATTTATGTATGGAAGGAGGGGCATATGCACTAGGGGGCCAGTGCCCCAGTAAAGCTTTGTGCCTAGCAACGCCCCTGTTCTCCACCATGAACAGAATCAAAAATAAATAAGGATCCAGGCTCAAAATGAGCTCCTTGATATGTGCTTTAGAATGGCTTAGTCTCCATTCAGACCAGGTTTAAAGCCTTGCAGGGCAGCATAAAGCCCACTGCTCTTATTAAGACAGAAAAAAGAAAGAAAAATGGTCAGTTCAGGTGTTTTATAAAAAAAAAAAAAATGTCTATATACCAAAATGAACGATTGTTGTTCTCTACTTCAAAAAAAAATTTCGATTTTAAAATGTAAAAAAGTTCTATTCTTTATATTTTTTATTTAAAAATTCAATGTATAACATAGATGCATAAAAACCTGCATTTTATTTCAGTGTTAAATGCTGATTTTAGCAAAAGATTATAATCTTTTTATAAAATAAAAATGACTCTGGACCTTTACTGGTTGATGATTTCCTTAATTCAGACCCTGCTGATTTTTAATTGGTTACCCCTGCTATAGATCTTTGCAGTGCCACCAAATGGACTTATTCCCAAAGTAAGAGTTTTACTATGATCCAGATTAGTTTATCTATGCCTCCTACAAGTTCAGCTGCCAAAGCTGGTTTTCTGCAAGTAACTTATTTATAGTTCTTCTAAGTAGATTGTTGTTTTAATATTGTGATGTTATTTCTTAATGAACTGTATTAAACTTTTAATAAAGTCACATTTACTGGCATCTGCCACTAGTGATCCTTTGTTCTTTGTTTGAATAGTATAATATAATTTTTTCCAGATCATCCAGTGAAATTGATTCAAAGTTTTCTATCTAAGGAAAACCAGTTGATTGCATCGACTCATTGACTCGAATGCAATCCCTCACACTAAGCATGCTTGTGGCGACAGTGGAGAGGAAAAACTCCCTTTTAACAGGAAGAAACCTCCAGCAGAACCAGGCTCAGTGTGAGTGGCCATCTGCTGAGGCCGACTGGGGTTCAAGGAGACAGAAACAGAGATTAAAAAAAGAAGCAGAGAAGTTTTTCAAAAATAGGACTTTGAAAAACTTCACAATTAAAAAGGTTTAAATAGTGATTTTTTTTATTTCTATGCAAAATTTCTACCAATATTTTTTAAAGTTTGCTATTTCTTCAGATTTTACATGTTAAGATTTTCACGTTTTCCCATTTTTATTTGGCCATTTATTTATTGTATTTTTCAAAGTTTTTAAAATGCTTGATTAAAAAAAAGAAAACAATTTGATGGATGATCTATGTATAATGTATAGAAATCATTTCATAGAAGGAAATTTTATTTTTTATAACTTAAATATCTGAAATATACAGTAGGGGAATAAATACAATCTCAACCATCTGGTCATGAAGTTCCATTGATAACCTCCTCTGCTTGAATTATGTGTTTCCATAGTTACAACTTATACTACCAGTTGGATCACGACATAGTAAATAATTATCTATAATTAATCAGAATGAATTGTAGCCTCCTCTATTAGACTGAATCAAATCTGGATTAAAGTGTTAATAGTGGTGCTGATGGATAGAATGAGGGGCGGTTCTTCTCAGGGCCCCATTGGACCGGCCCTGGATATAAAACAGCTCTGGTCTGTTTATTTAATGCTCTAACGGCTTTCCATACCCAGATACCGCTTCCTACATGGAGACCATCTTCTTCTTCAGATGTTTGCTCTATCGCAGCCTTTAATTATTGATTAGCTCGTCGGATTTTGATATAAACTGATTTAATGTGACATTATGTTCACCAGAGGAGCATAAATCATCTTTGTGATAATTAGTGAGGTTTGATCGTCCGCTCTCCGGGCTTGTTTTGTTCGCTCTGGGCTTGCAGGCTCTTCCCTCCCCCTTCCAGAGGACAAAGACTAAAATGGGTCAGCAGCTCATCCTGCGCAGCATCAGCCGGAGGCAGAGAGCAGCTGCTGGCCGCCTTCCAGCCTCTCTGATCAGACACATGGAGCCGCTGTCCTCCGCTGGATCTTCCTGTTGAGCCGCTGGTTCCCACTACCACCGTTACTGGTTCCTGTCTCCGCTTTGAACTGGAAGCAGACATGTCGTCCTGGGATGGCTGACGCCGCTAACTGGGACTGAACTGGTTAGAAGAGAATCGGAGCTGCTGGTTCCCAGTAAACACCGACTCATCCGCCCCCGCACTGACCGACGGAGGACGATGGAGGCCGGGCTGGAGTGAGCGGCTGACCGTCCAGGTACAGATCCGGCTTCACCAGTAAAACCAGTGCAAACCAGTTTAAACGGATTTCTGGGGAAATTGTTGTTGTTTTTCTTACCAGAATCCAGAATATTCCAGTAAATCATTAAATAGACCGAATGTTTAAGGGATCCAGAAGGTCTAAAGAGTCAGCTGTGAGATATTTACTGTTTTCATCAGTTGGATCCACATTTGGTCAGCTTCACTGGACAACAGGCTTCATTTGGAGAGGGCCCCATGTCATGAGGATAAGGGGCCCCATGCCAGGAGGAGAAGGTGCCCCATGTCATGAGGATAAGGGGCCCTATGCCAGGAGGAGAAGGTGCCCCATGTCATGAGGATAAGGGGCCCTATGCCAGGAGGAGAAGGTGCCCCATGTCATGAGGATAAGGGGCCCCATGTCAGGAGGAGAAGGGGCCCCATGCCAGGAGGAGAAGGGGCCCCATGTCAGGAGGAGAAGGGGCCCCATGTCAGGAGGAGAAGGGGCCCCATGCCAGGGAGAGAAGGGGCCCCATGTGGGTGGGAGAAGGGGCTCCATGCCAGGAGGAGAAGGGGCCCCATGCCAGGGAGAGAAGGGGCCCCATGTCAGGAGGAGAAGGGGCTCCATGCCAGGAGGAGAAGGGGCCCCATGCCAGGGAGAGAAGGGGCCCCATGTGGGTGGGAGAAGGGGCTCCATGCCAGGAGGAGAAGGGGCCCCATGCCAGGGAGAGAAGGGGCCCCATGTCAGGAGGAGAAGGGGCCCCATGTCAGGAGGAGAAGGGGCCCCATGCCAGGGAGAGAAGGGGCCCCATGTCAGGAGGAGAAGGGGCCCCATGTCAGGAGGAGAAGGGGCCCCATGCCAGGAGGAGAAGGGGCCCCATGTCAGGAGGAGAAGGTGCCCCATGTCATGAGGATAAGGGGCCCTATGCCAGGAGGAGAAGGTGCCCCATGTCATGAGGATAAGGGGCCCTATGCCAGGAGGAGAAGGGGCCCCATGCCAGGAGGAGAAGGGGCCCCATGTCAGGAGGAGAAGGGGCCCCATGCCAGGAGGAGAAGGGGCCCCATGTCAGGAGGAGAAGGGGCCCCATGCCAGGGAGAGAAGGGGCCCCATGTGGGTGGGAGAAGGGGCTCCATGCCAGGAGGAGAAGGGGCCCCATGCCAGGAGGAGAAGGGGCTCCATGCCAGGAGGAGAAGGGGCCCCATGCCAGGGAGAGAAGGGGCCCCATGTGGGTGGGAGAAGGGGCCCCATGCCAGGAGGAGAAGGGGCCCCATGTGGGTGGGAGAAGGGGCTCCATGCCAGGAGGAGAAGGGGCCCCATGCCAGGGAGAGAAGGGGCCCCATGTCAGGAGGAGAAGGGGCTCCATGCCAGGAGGAGAAGGGGCCCCATGCCAGGGAGAGAAGGGGCCCCATGTCAGGAGGAGAAGGGGCCCCATGCCAGGGAGAGAAGGGGCCCCATGCCAGGGAGAGAAGGGGCCCCATGTGGGTGGGAGAAGGGGCTCCATGCCAGGAGGAGAAGGGGCCCCATGCCAGGGAGAGAAGGGGCCCCATGTCAGGAGGAGAAGGGGCCCCATGCCAGGGAGAGAAGGGGCCCCATGCCAGGGAGAGAAGGGGCCCCATGTGGGTGGGAGAAGGGGCTCCATGCCAGGAGGAGAAGGGGCCCCATGCCAGGGAGAGAAGGGGCCCCATGTCAGGAGGAGAAGGGGCCCCATGTCAGGAGGAGAAGGGGCCCCATGCCAGGGAGAGAAGGGGCTCCATGTCAGGAGGAGAAGGGGCCCCATGCCAGGGAGAGAAGGGGCCCCATGTCAGGAGGAGAAGGGGCCCCATGCCAGGGAGAGAAGGGGCTCCATGTCAGGAGGAGAAGGGGCCCCATGTCAGGAGGAGAAGGTGCCCCATGTCAGGAGGAGAAGGGGCCCCATGCCAGGAGGAGAAGGGCCCCCATGTGGGTGGGAGAAGGGGCCCCATGCCAGGAGGAGAAGGGCCCCCATGTGGGTGGGAGAAGGGGCCCCATGTCAGGAGGAGAAGGGGCCCCATGTGTGTGAAAGAAGGGGCCCCATATGGGTGGGAGAATAGGCCCCATGTGGGATTTCCACTGCTTCCATATTGGTCCCATTGAGCATGCATGTTAGATAAAAGCCACCTAGCGTGAGTAATCGGCCCCCATCTAGTAAAAAATCTCAGAAAACATTTGGATCCAATCTTTGAGTTTTTTTCCTTCATGGCCCAAAATCCTGGAATGAGTCAATATTATGATATGATGGCTAAAAAAACACACAAAAAAACTGAATCCTGTTTGGGTCCAATCTAGGTAGCTCTTTTCTGAAAATTTAGTTCCTTGGTTTTGTTTAGCCTGCAGAGATCGCTCTCTGGTTCTGGATTAATCTCCTCTTATTTGGTTTTGTTTCAAAGTTGTGAAACGGTGGGGCTCAGGCATCTTGATGAGCTTCAGGGCCGCTGTTTCAACAAGTTCAGAACCATTTACTTTGACTGGACCACAGGGAACCAGGAAGAACCACAGCAGATTATTTCTGTTCCACCAGAACCTAGTTTCACTTTTCCTCAGTACATTTTCACACACTGCCGTCAGTGATACCACAGCAAGTCTACACCAGGGCCGGATTTAGGAAATTTTGGGCCCTAGGCAAAGACTGGCAGGGGGCCCTCTGAACTGAGAAAACAACACATCAAACAGACCCATTCTACAGATAGAGAAATGTTAATAGAATAGACATCCAGTATCTGTTCTATGTTGTGTCCCTCTCTTCTTGTCTCTCTTCTTGTCCCTTTTCTTCTTGTTTTCCTCTCTATGTTTTGTACTCAGCTGACTTTTCATGCTGTCTCTAAATGAATGAAAGATTTTTTCCAAGCACTAAGCTCACTTAGCTGATTGCTCCTTCCTGTGTTTCCAAAATGGCCAAACTAAATAACCCAGTCCTTCTTTTCACTGTAGACAAGCCATGATCTGCTTCTCTGTTCTCCATTTTTCATTTGGATGAAATAATAGCTGCATGAATCATGACAGCAGACAAGATAGAGGAGAGCAGGAGGCGGGGTTACCAATCTACTTGCTCTGGAGAGCAGAGTTCGCTGCTTTTAGATGTTGTCTCCAAAGTCTGCAGTAGCAGAAAAAGTCGCTGGATTTGGCGCTAGGAGCTTTTTTGTAATCAAAGTGCTAGAGAGGTCTGAAAAGTTGCTAAATACAGCGACAAAAGCGCTAAGTTAGCAACACTGCTCTTTGCATCGTTTGTTTTCAAATGGTTTGCTGCTGCCTGTTTGGACCTTTCTGAACATGTGCAGCAAATGGACTGATCCAATATGGTGGACTAAGCGTTCTGATGGATTTTTAGCGAAAAGATTTCTATCAAAAACATAATTAGTGTAATGTATAAATAAGTAATAGTTAGAGTTTTATATACGGCCCCCCAGGTACTTGGGGCCCTAGGCAACTGCCTGGTATTGCCTAATGGTAAATCCCAACCTGGTCTAGACAGAACCGGTCCTGATGTGGGTCCATTTCGCCGTCTGATCAGAACAGGCCTGGGCATCAAGCTGTGGTCTAACTGGGTTCTAAATATTTGAAGGAACATTTATAGAACCATGTCATATAGAACCACTGGCAGAACCAGGACCTTAACCCGGTTATTGTTTAGTTAAACCCAATGAAGCCTGGAGTTTGAACGGATCAGAACCACTGTCTGAGGTTTAGTGCCATGGTGTCGGAGCGGCAGCTTCAGGAGTTTCTGCTGACATCAGCTGATAAGAGGAACCACGGCAGCGTGTTCCTCACAGGTTAAAGTCCTGCAGACCGGACCCTGGAACCGTAGAGCTGCTGAGGTTCTGGAGAAGCGGTGAGTTCTGTGGGGTTTCTGTGGGAAAGATGAAGGCCTCTGGGTTCAGGCAGATCTGTTTTCCATCCAGCAGAACCATGACAGCTTCAGAGACGACAGAGATAAAAGGTTCTGAAGACGGTTCTGCTGCTTGTCGTCAGAACTTGTTTTCTTTCCCAGGATTACTTTTAGACAGCTGCAGAACTTTGACTCTGATCTCTTATCCTCCCACAGATTGAATAAGGTGTTTTATTTTGGCCTGGTTTGTTTCCTGACCTCGATGAAGGATTCTAAAAATGGAGCCGCCTCCTCTCCTCCTTCAGGAGCAGATCCATTTTTAGGATTCTATTTTCCTCCTCACACCGGGTCCGATTTAGCTCTCTTTGTAGCTGCTTGTAGAGGAAGGGACAGATCTGGGACGCAGAGCATTTGAAGATGATCTGAAGGTTCTGTCAGGAGCTCCGGCTGGGCGGGCAGCTGATGTTTAATGTTATGGAAGAGGCGGCTCGTCTCTCAGGCTTCAGTCTGAAAAGATGTTTTTCTTTCGGTTCCAGCAGATTGGAGAGTAGCAGAGGCAGGAAGCTGCAAAGGAACTCACCGCGCTCGGCTCCGTTCCTCCTCTGCAGAACCTCTGGATCTCTGCTCCGAGGCCTTTCTGATCCCAGTCGACCCGCTGCAGCTATGACTCCCCCGGCAGACCTCCCATTTTCACTCCTCTTTGCCGCCGCCGCTCTCGTGATGATGCTGATGTCACTACCTGCTTCGGCTCTGGAACCGGAGACGTGTTTCTACAGGGAGCATCAGGGCGCCACAGTGAACGTCAGGCTGGCTTTGAGCAGAGAGGCGACGGCCATGATCACCCGGAATGCCAGCTCATACAGGGGATGCGTCCAGGCCTGCTGCTCCGAGGAGGTCCAAACAGGTGAGACCAACACGTCCCAGGTAACAGAACCGCACTGGTTCTACCAGCAGCCCCAGTCCATAGAACAAACCTACAGGAGGCCTGCAGAACCCATGATCAAGACGATCGACTGTAGCAGCAGGATGTGATGTCACAGTGAGGACAAGATGGCGGAAGCTAACAGCTATCACACGTAGCTTTATGAGTCCAGCTGATCCAGACGTGAACAGAACCGGAAGTGGCCTCCTCCATCCTGTTCTCTAGTCTCTAACAGTGACATCGTCCCGCTGCATTCAGGGAACCAGAACTTTCGATAAATACAGAATAACTTGATTCAAGAATACTAAATAACCCTTTAAAAAAAAAAGTTCTTCATCCTCTGACATTCAATTTTATTCAGTTTATTTATATAGCGCCAATTTGTTATCCCAAGTCACTTTACAGTTCACATAAAGTGACATGGTTTTTTCTGTATCTCTGCTTCTGTCTCCTTGAACCCCAGTCGGCCTCATCAGATGGCCGCTCACCCTGAGCCTGGTTCTGATGGAGGTTTCTTCCTGTTAAAAGGGAGTTTTTCCTCTCCACTGTCGCTACAAGCATGCATAGTGTGAGAGATTGCCTTATGCTACATTCCCACCTAAAGCAGCAGGAGCAGCAAAAACGCGCGTCCTGCTTCATTTTTGATGCTTGTACCGGTTTAGTTCTGACGCACGGCTGAAGCATCTTTGCTGCTTTAGCTGCGCGGTCATAAAGTGGGTCTGATGCGCGTTGGGCGGAGCTACCCGAACCTTTCATTGCCTGTAACAATGGCAGCTATATTTGCTGTGATCAGCGGGTAAAAAGTTGTAAAGTGAGAAAGTCCACCTGACAGCTTCATCTGTGCAGTCAGTTCCTCCAGATTACCATCCTGCCTTCAAATATTGTTTCTCTGTCGGAGCCGCTCAGACCCCCGTACACCGGCGGTGCGCTGTCACTAGGAATCCCGTTCAACAGCAGCCTCTGGCCCGGTCGCCTCTTCGCGGTTTGCTGCTACTGTGCGCGGCGTCTGGAAAGCGTTTTTTTACGTACGTGATCCAAATCTCAGGCACCAGAATTATAAAATCAAACATATTTTGCAGGTTTCGATATTTTAAGTTGATTTAGGACCTAAATGATCACTTCCCTGAAACAGTTTATTAACACCTAGGTGTTAATAAACTGTTTCAGGGGAGTGATCATAGCGCTATGTCTCTGTCTCCCTGCCAGCTCCCAGATCAGCTTTCTGATTGGTTGATGTGGCGTGTCGAGCAGTTCAATTTCTCCATCTCCAGCAGCTGCTGCTGCTTCTGAAGCGCATCAGATGCTCAGAAGCTCGTGAGGCGCTGCTCCTGCTGCTAAAAACGCACTGCAGGACTTTCTGCTTCACCTTGATGCTCGTCAACCATTGACTTTGCATGTAAACTAGCTGCTTCTGCTGCTTGTGGTCTGCACATTGCATTAGAGTCGAAGTAGTCAACGAGTCGATGCAACGAACTGGTTTTCCTTAGATAAAAAACTCTGAATCAATCTGACTGGATGATCTGGTGAACTGTAAAGTGCCTTGAGATGACATGTGTTGTGAATTGGAGCTATAGAAATAAACTGAATTGAATTGAATAGCCTTGACTTGGACCTGTGGTCTGAGGCTCCAGTCTTTAAAAGCATGTTGGTGTGTTACCACCACCGGCTAGATGCTGTTAGTTTATGGTCCATCATTATTTACTTGAGCTTGTTTAGGATCTATTCGAACATTTCAGCTTGTGTTGGTTCTATTCTTGAAAAGGTGGCTCAGGTTTAAGCTTTGCCTCAAATGTGTGATCTTTGCTTTTCTTCAGGTGCTCGGTGCAACATGGCCGTGTTCAGAGCGAACAAGCGAGGCAACGATTTGAACTGCCTCCTGTTCCACTGTCCCACGGAGCTGGACTGTCCTCTGATGAAAGCCGCTGAGGGCAGCAACGCGTACGACATCTACAAAGGTAACAGCTGTTTCCTGCAACATTTACTGATGGTCTGTTTGATTTCAGAGGCTGCGTCATCCAAGGACCCGCAAAGACCTGGACTGGGTCCTTCGAGTGCATGAATATAAGGAGGCCCGAAGAGTTTTTGGCTATTCATTCAAACAGGTCCAGCCTTTTACGCTCTGTCGCCTAGCAACCATTACAGTTGACACACAAAGCAGGCAAAGAATGGATATCGAAACCTCTCACTACCGTTGTCCTCTGAAGGCCAGATTCATCAGCCAATTACATCATAGCGTGGCGCCATGAACTGTTTGGATTGGGAGACAAAATGTGGCCTTCTTTTTGACCAGTCTGGTGTATCCTACGTAGCCTAGAGTATCCCATGATTCATTGCGAGTGCAATCAAGCTGGGTGCTCCGAGCTCAGAGGAAAAGAGTAAATGGCGCCAAACAGTGGTGAATACTTTAAGTGCAGTTTAATATAACACAGGCGAACAGTTCCGTCTGAAATTATTATTTTTTAAATGGTTTGTGAGTCAGATATGTGGCAGGCTAATGTTTGGTTTACTGAAAGGTTTTTATCTGTCCCTATGGAAGTAGGTTTGGCAGACATACATTACACATACAGATTCGAATACAGTGGAATCCGCTACTAGTGATCACGTTGATCCAGAGCCAATTTGAAAAGTATAAGCTGTTGATTACTAAAACTGAATTTACCGTTATTTCACTTATTTTTTATGCAGCACATCATCTAAATGCTGTTTGTGGGGTTTTTCAATAAGAAAAATGAAATTAAACGGATAGCTTCCACATTTACTGAATTTTATTACAGTACCATGCAAGTTTAATTACAGAATACTGCGTTGTGCGCAGACATAACTCTAGTAGCCTTTGTAACTTATTATGTGCTGTTCACATATTTAGCCATGGTTCCCCGGATCAGAGTGTTGTCCAACACTGAGTTCACTTCTTTTTCAAAATGATGTAAAAGGTCAAAGTTTCTTTAAAGCATCATGCAGGAGACCAGTCTTTAAAATGTAAACTGCTTTCCTCATCTCAGCTCTGGGAGAGAAAACAGTCTCCTCTTCTTCATCCTCCTCCCTCTCCTTGCTCCGCGTGGCACTGGTACCCGCACCAAAGCGCTCTTTTACCTCAGCGATGATGTCCTCATCCGTCACGTGCTCTGACTCCGGAGTGTTGTCATCACTTTCGATCTACTTATTAATTATTTTTGCATTCATAAAATGGCCAAAAATGAACACTATAAGCGGATTTCTTGATTAATATAAACAAATTATTTAAACAGCATTTGTATAGAAACGATTCTGTCCCAAGCCTTTTGATCTATATAAGTGGTTGATTACTATATCCGTGACCACTATAAGCGGATACCACTGTATATCTGCATTGTCAGGACTATAGATCGGATATTCACCATGACGGTTCTGCTGCTGAAGCTCCTCAGAAATTTGATTAGCACCCAAAACAGCAGCGAGAAGTTCGGTATCCATTGTTTGCCTGCTTTGTTTGTCAACTGTCACGGTTGCTAGGCGACAGAGTGTTCAAGCGGGCAAAATCTTGAGAAGGCTGGAACTATTTGAATCCTTTTCCAAATTCTCCTGGCCTCCTTATTTTCACAGACCTCCCAGTCCAGGTAGACGAGGTCCTTGGAGGACGCAGACGATGAAACACACCCAGCATGTTTCCGTTTCACCTGCTGGAAAAGGCCCACAGTAGAAGAAATGCTGTGGACTGTATCTCTGCTGCCCTCTTGTGGCCAAAATGTCACTAACGTTTTTTTTCCCTCTCATCCACAGGTTTAAATCATCCACCCACGATGAGACCTATCATCATGACAACCACTCCGCAGACCACCACCAGCACCACCACAACAGCACCAACCACACCAGCCACCAGCACAACCATCAAACCAACCACTACGAAGACACTGCCCCCCACCACAGCACCTCAGGTACCCATCATCAGTACTGCCGCGGTGCCTGCAGGTCCTCCTCCACCAACCACTACCACCACTACTGCTCCTCCACCTACTACTCCTACCCCTACTACTACAACTTCTACTACTACAACTTCTACAACTACTACTACTACAAACCCAACAACTACAATGGGACCTTCTCCCACCTTCGCCTCCAGAAAACCCAACAAATCCAGCAAGAAGCAAAACAAAACCACCAAGAAAGGAAAACCTCATCTATCCACCACCACCCAAACTGCCCCGAGCTCCTCGACCTCACTTCCTGTGAGGGTGGAGGAGGAGCGTACAAGTTCTAGCATTCAGGAAACTACAACTACAACAACCACAGCAGCCCCAACCACTACGACCACCAGTACAACCACTACAACCCCCACGACAACAACCACCTTCCCTGTGAGTAGTACCACTCTCCCTACAACCACCATAAATCCAACAACTACCACCACTACTACTACTACTACTACTACTACCACTACTACCACTATTACTACAACCGACATGGCTACCACAACTTCCACCACCACTCAAAGTACGACCAGTACCCCCACCACTGAACCAACCACCACATTGGCGGCTCAACCTCCGAGTTTGATCTTCATACCCAAAGACACCTTCCCTTCCGACCCGGACCTTCAGCCCAGTCCCACCAACCTGAACTCCAGCTCCAGCCGGGGGAAGGCGGTGGTGGCGCAGGGAGCGCTGAAAGGCGGCGTGGTGGCCGTCATGGTTCTGGGGATGGCCGTGCTCACGCTGGCCTTGGCTGTTGGCGGTCGGAAGGCCATGGAGTCCTTTGATCGGCGACATTACACCAGACTGGAGCTCAACGACCTGCACTACGAGATTTAAGTGGGAATAATCCGGCACATTTGCTTTATTTAGGATTCTTTAAGTTCTTAGCTGCACGATTCTGTATTTTTCACTCAGGCTTTGATTAGAAAGTGTCTGATTGATCAGACTTGGTTTGTTCACCTTTGAAGTGATCTTGAAGCAGATTGCGGAGCATCATCACCCTTCTCTGATTGGTCGACTCTGGTGAAACTCACCTATTTTAGCCATTTTGAAGAATATTATTGGATGCAGAGTTTGTCACAGGGAAACAAAGAAAGTCTGTTTAATATTTTAAGGATTTTGAAGATAATGTTTATTGTTCACATCTGGTTTCAAGAGGACTTTAAACAGGAACAAATGCTTTCAAATCAGCGTATTGATCTTTTTTCTGTTAATTCAGTTTAATAACTGCTACTGTATTTTGATACAAACTGTTATTCTGAGTTGATTTATGATGATTAATGTTGAACTGGAAGTAAGTTAATTTCTGAGCAAAGTACAGTGATATATAAATATGTGTTAAATCAATATAAAAGACATTTGTTAATTTCTGATAAGGAACCAAAAAGGTGAAAGTTTTCCAAATTGAACCAGTGAAGACCTCTTTAGCTTCATTTTGGGAGATATTTTAAACTAGCTGAGATTTTATTTATGATACATTCACTGATAAAACCCACTCAGCCTCCAGAGGGAATGGTCTGATTTCAATATAGACCAGAGATGTGGTGGAAATGGTTTGATTGATAAGATGCTGTGAAGGGGAGTGGCAATCTAGTGGTTAGGGCATAGACCTAGGAATCCTGAGGTTGTGAGTTCGAGGCCCACTACCACAGACTGCCACTCTGGCTCTCTGAGCAAGACCCTTAACCCCACACTGCTCCCTGGGCACCGCACAACACCCCAAGTGGATGGGTTAAATGCAGAGAGTTAATTTCTCCAATGTGAGATCCATAAAGTTAAATTATGTGGCATAGAGCTTGGAATCCTGAGGTTGTGAGTTTGAAACCCAATCCCACAGACTGCAACTCTGAGCAAAGATCCTTTACCCCTATTCCAAATGGCAGCCCATGCTCCCCAAGGGGATGGGTTAGATGCAGAGAGTGAATTTTGTTGCGCTGTACTTGTGACAGTGGAATGAGAATAAAATGTTCATTTGAAAAAAAAGGTGATGTTAAGATTGGCCACTAGCAGGCGTATTTAAGCGGAAACTGTCTTTAGATAGGTTTACTGATGACCCAAAGGTAAATTAGGCTAGTCATTCATTAACATTCAATAATTGCTAAGAAATGTGTTAAAACACTGATACTCTTCAGCTGCTCACAAAACTGAGCTTTTTTTTATTATTATTAGCCCCAGATATTTCTATAGTACCTAAGCTTAAATTCCTGTACGTTTGTTTTAGACTCTTATTTGAATAAAAGAGGGAAATTAATCCTGAATTTGTCTTTTTAGCTACTTGAGTTAACCTGCCCATAAAGGCAATTGTTTTAATATTCTGCGAATACTGGCTAGCAGTACTAAAGTAAGCAAGTTAGCTTTTACCAGCACATAAATTGGCTACAAAGTCTGGGCTAAACTTAGCTGCTAACTGTGGTAAAGTTAGCATTTAATAGAACTTTAGCTACTTGAATTTACCGTGCCTATAAAGGCAATGGTTTTCATTTTCTGATAATTCTGGCTAGCAGTGCTAAAGTAAGCAAGTTAGCTTTTAACAGCACATAAAATAGCTACGAAAACTAGGCTAAAATTAGCTGCAAACTGCGGTAAAGTTAGCATTTAACAGCAATTTATCTTTTTGAGTTAACCTGCCTATAAAGGCAACAGTTTTCATATTCTGAAAATTCTGGCTAGCAGTGCTAAAGTAAGCAAGTTAGCTTTTAACAGCACATAAATTGGCTACAAGGTGTTGGCTAAAATTAGCTGCTAGCTGTGGTAAAGTTAACATTTAAAAGCACAAAAGGTAGCTACTAAGCCATTGCTAAGGTTAGCTGCTAACAGTGCTATAGTTAGCTTTAGCTAAACATTTCTTCTTTAAAAATCAGGAAAGCATTTAAATGAGAAATGTATTTAATAAAAGAACAAACATGAGGAATCCTTAGTTTTTCCCCATAGATTAAGTTAAAATCTACTTTGATTATCATTAAATATTTTTATTACTTCTTTCTTGTCAAAACTTTACAAAATGGTAAATTCCTGACCAAGTCTTGAAACCCTAATTAGTGACCACCTTTTAATTGATTTTGACTTCAATAGGAGAACTGAATGAACCAGTTATTATTATCACATTTTATCCCTACTAGTTTCATTTTAATGCCATAAAGCTTGAATAGGGAGGTTGTATTAATCTTAAGGATACAGATAATTAAATAAAAGTTTTATACATGCTGTAATCATTACCAAACTAATTAGAAACTTTTAATAACTGTAATTGGAAACAACAGTTTCAGCTGTTTGTATAAAAGTGTGAAGCTAATCTAACATTGTTTAAGCTTCTAGAAGAAAATAGCACTTAGTATGAGGGATGTAGAATAAATCTATAAATCACTTTCCGTACTTTAGGGCAGCCACACACCCCATCAAACATGCATGTACATTGGGGGGCATGCCTCATCGTTTCATCTTCAGAGACACAGGACGGATGACCATGCAACGGCCACTTAGACTGATAAGATGCATATCGTTGGACTGTGGGAGGAGACCAGAGATAACCCTAACATGCATGCAATGAAATGCTCCACTAAAACCCAGCTGGGATTCAAACCCAGAACTCAAAGCCTTGCCATGTGGCAACAGTACTAACAGCTGCAGCTTCTTATGAACCAAATCATTTCCAACTCTCAATTTTTCTTTATATGTTGTTTGCACAGTTTGTAGGATTTGTTCCTAAGGATGAATATTAATCTGATATTTGTTGGAAATAATTCAGTGACGTTCCTTAAATTATGATGCAATCTCAAGGAGTTTGTTTCTTTCACAAACCGGAGAAGAAAGGTGTTCAGTCTAACATCTGTCTGAGACCGATTCACACCCTGGTGATCAGCTTTGGGTCTTCTCTAGAAAGGATTTATGATCCTGTTTTGATTTTAACTGTAAATGTTTATGCTGATTTGCTTTGCCGCTTTTTCCCCTTTGAAAAGGCTTAAGACTTTTGGACGTGAACCTGCACATGGCCTCCAGGTTTCTTTCTAAGTGACTGAGGAAGAAGACCAAACAGCAATACTTTTAACTCATCGACACTCAGGAAGCTTCTGTAGTGGAGAAACCTGGTGGAGATCAGAATCCGTTGTGCACGCTTCTGCATGTCCTCTCCAGCTGTACGGGCCTGTGGTGACCTCTGAACCCACAGGTTCACTGTAGATGTCACATTCACTGTGTGTTTTTGTATTTTCACTGCAAAAGGATTCCAACCATTGATGCAATCCTTCATAAACTGATGCACTATTGTATTGTGTGTTTTTGATAACTATGATCAGCTTCTTTAGAGATATCTGACTGACTGTCATAGCTCAGCGCACTATTTTCTTATATTTAACATATTTGTACTGGATGTGTGTTTCAGACCGCTTGCTGTTGCGGTATCTCTCCAGCAGGTGGCAGCAGCAGCCTGATCACTGTTTCAGTTTAACTCTAAAGTCTGACATGGATGGTGATAGTTTGGTGCAGTTTTGTCAAGTGATGCGTTCTCATAACGTTGGAATTTACTGTTTTGTTGTAACAATAAAAAAAAACTGTGATTTTTGAAAACATTTTCCCCTTGTTTTCTCTATAAACTGAATCATCAGTGGATTCGCATGTCGGATGAATGTAAAATATATTATTATTATAATAACAAGAAAATCTGAACTGACTGTTAAAGACCTTAGTCTGTGGAGATATGTCCTGTTGTCTGAACCGAAGAAAAAAAACAACAACACTGTGAAATACAGTGTCTATTTAGTTATTTTATTTTTAAAATAACTAAATATATTTTATTATATTATTATTATAATATTTTATTATACTTTATATTAAATTTATATTTTATTAAATATATTTTATTATAGGATTAGGGCCGCTGGGAAAAAAACAAAACAAACAAACAAAAACAGTTAACTGGTTTTTAAATATTTCAGTTTAATATGGAAAAAAGTCAGAATTCTGACTTTAATCTCAGAATTGTGGATCGTAATGTAGATGGGCACCATGAATGAAGAGCTGTGGGAGCACTCAGCTTCACTGACAAAGATGTGAGTTGTTTGGGAGGAACAGTGACATATATAAAAGTACGGGATTAGGTGACTTTTTATGTGCCCAGGGTTCCCTGGTGATGCTATTTCATTAATAGAAGAGCTGAGTGATTAAAACAAGAGAGCTTGTCTCTAAAAAAGACATGGCTACGACTTGATGCTTACATGTTTGTTAGCTGTCAGAATTCAGTCAGAATTCTGAGATTAAAGTCAGAAATATGAAATCAAATTCAGAATTCTGAGATTAAAGTCAGAATTCTAAGAAAAAAAGACAGAATTCTGAGATTAAAGTCAGAATCTTGAGGGAAAAAATAGTTAGAATTCTAAAAAGAGTCAGAAACCTGAGATTAAAGTCAGAATTCTGAGGGAAAAAAAAAAATCAGATTTCTGAGAATAAAGTCAGAAATCTTAGATTAAAGTCAGAATTCTGAGGGGGGGAAAAAATCCGATTTCTGAGATTAAAGTCAGAAGTCTGAGATTAACGTGAGAATTCTGAGAAAAAAAATATCTAAATTCTGAGATCATGGTCAGAAGTCTGAGATTCAAGTCAGAATTCTGAGGAAAATAAACAGAATTCTGAGATTAAAGTCAGCAATCTGAGATTAAAGTCAGAATTCTGAGAAAAAAAATCAGAATCCTAAGATTAAAGTCAGAAGTCTGAGATTAAAGTAAGAATCTTGAGGGAAAAAATAGTTAGAATTCTAAAAAGAGTCAGAAACCTGAGATTAAAGTCAGAATTCTGAGGGAAAAAAAAATCAGATTTCTGAGAATAAAGTCAGAAATCTTAGATTAAAGTCAGAATTCTGAGGGGGGGAAAAAATCCGATTTCTGAGATTAAAGTCAGAAGTCTGAGATTACAGTCAGAAATCTGAGATAAAAGTCAGAATTCTGAGATTAACGTGAGAATTCTGAGAAAAAAAATATCTAAATTCTGAGATCATGGTCAGAAGTCTGAGATTCAAGTCAGAATTCTGAGGAAAATAAACAGAATTCTGAGATTAAAGTCAGCAATCTGAGATTAAAGTCAGAATTCTGAGAAAAAAAATCAGAATCCTAAGATTAAAGTCAGAAGTCTGAGATTAAAGTAAGAATTCTGAGAAAAAGTCAGAATTCTGAGAAAAAAAAGTCAGAATTATGAGATTAAAGTCACAAATCTGAAATTAAATTCATAATTCTGAGATTAAAGTCAGAATTCTGAGAAAAGTCAGAAATCTGAGATTAAAGTTTTTTTTTTTACATATTATACTGAAATAAAATGTTTGTTTTTCAGTGGCCCTAAACCTCTTCCGTACTATGATGTTTCTGGCCCAGGGTTCTTTCTTTCTGACACCCATCCACTCTGTGTTTTTGGCCCCCAGCATTCCTGCACTGTGGTTTGGCCCCCATGCATTTCAGGCCCCTGTGTTCTCGGAGCCCATTGAAAAGATCAAGCAGTCTCCACCTGGATGATTAAACCGGACGCTGTGGTCTGCGTGGTTCTGGATGGTTTGCGGTGGTTTTGGTTGCGGCGGTGCGCAGCTAGTGTGCGGCAGAACAACAATAGAAAGCAGAGCCGAGGAGGAGGAGCACCACCAGCACCACCACCAGGAGCAGCAGCAGCAGCGGAAGGACACCGAGGATCCTGCGGGACGAAATGAGACGCTGTATCGGATTTAGAAGCGAACAGAACCCCGTGATGGATAGCGGGACGATCCGAGCCTGATCCGAACCGAACCTAAGCGTGTTTTTGTTGAGAGGAAGCGGCCGCAGCCATGATGGGAATGCTGGGAATCCTGCGCTAGGGATCCGCGGCGGCTGGGCCCAGGATCGGGAGAAAGATGAGAATGTCTTTTCGGATCCTGCTGTTATTTGGTTCCTGCTGGCTCATTTCAGGTGAGGTTCTGGGTTGGAGGGTGTTGGAAGTTCGGCCCGGGATGTTTCCGTCTGGATTCAGGTTTTGTGTTTGAAGTTCCAGGCCCTGCTATCGCTAGCATCAAGCTAACTGCCTGTTTGTTCTGGAAAAGGTTTTTTTCCTGGGAATTCTGCTCCCAAATCGAGCCTCTGGTCCCGGTTCTGTCGTGCATTGAAGGGTCTTGATCGGTTTCTGACAAATTTCGGTGAATTTTTTTTATTTTTCTGGAGCTAATATGGATTTGGGGAAACAACAACAGGAGCTATGGAAGCTAGTTAGCATCAGAGCTAACAGGTTGCAATCTGCTAACTAACAAACCTACTGCCTAATGTGCTGGGTTTTAAGGTTGATCCAAACAGGGCATCACTTTATTCATGATTAAAAATCAGTTTTCCAGAACATTCCTGATATAATCAGGCAGCAGAGAAACATCAATAGTTGTAAATATTCCTGCAGGAACAAACAGACTGCTGGAAAACCCTGAGATTCAGCTCCTGTGAAGCATCTGCATCATTCTGCTGGAAAACAGAAAGGATATACAGGAAAAACACAGCGGGAGTAAAATAATTCCCATTTCATGCACTGGTGCTTTACAAAAGAAAAACAGGAAGTTTGGTAAATTTTCATCTTGGTCCCAGAGAGAGGAGAATTAAATATTTGATTCCAGATTAAAATGAATGTAATCTGGAATCAGTTGTGATTTCCGGGTCATTATGATTGGAGGTGAGTGGTTCTGGTTCCATAGGAGCAGGGAGGAAACGGGTCACAGGTGAGCTTAGGGGTGTGCTTCATTCCTTAGGGACGGAGATCAGTTCCTCTGGTCTAAACGTTCTCCTGGCTTCCACCGAGTCCCACATGGTTCCTTCTTCTCTTCTGGTGGGATAATCTCCTAATCCAGCTTCTGTTTTGATCAGTTTCAGTGCAGCCTCGAACCATGATGGAACCTCCACCATGCTTCAGAAGCAAACCTTCCTGCTCAGATTAAAATTTTTAATGTTTGGGCCTTTAGGCCCATCTCTTCTTTAAAAACAGTTTGTTAGCTTCTCCGCTTCAATAGGAGCCCGTTTGATGGATCAGCTGAAGGCGGGTGGATCTCCCAGGTCCGTGGAGTGGAAATTAGACAGAGTTAGACTCAGGTGCCAAAAACTAAGCAGAAGCTTAAAGTTGATCGTGTTATCACCGTGGCAGCTCCAGAAAAGTTGAACGACCTTCCATTGCAAATGAAATTGTCTGCTTCTTTGTCTGATTTAAAATCGCTCTTAAAAACTCCTCTCTTTGCCTCGGCTTTCTAAACTGTGATGTTGATTTTAGTCTGTGATACGTTTAAATTACTTATTTTTATTTTAGTATAGATTTTATAGTTCTGATATTAATTTTGTCTAACATACAGCTTGGATAGTTTTTTGAGTCTGTGTAATGGTGTTATGATGTTTCACTGTACAGCCCTTTGGTCCTTGGAGAAATTTTAAAATGCTTTATAAATAAAGTTGAATTGGATTAGACTGGATTTTATTTACTCTTTGGGATTAGTCCTTCAGGGAAATTCTGGTTCCAGTAGCTTATATAGAGTAAAAGTTAAAGCAAGATGTCATTAAAGGTAAAAATACGACCAACGATATAAAAAGAGTGTATATAGTACCACAGAGTATTAGGGTCAGGCTAGAGATTATTTTTAAAGTCGTAACATTACAAGAATAAAGTCGGCATACAGCAACCCATTTCAGAAAGAAAGCTGGGAGCTCAGACCAGCTCCACCAATCAGCAACCAGAGTCCACTTGCTGTCCAATGATGCTGGTGCTAAAAGATTTCCTTATTTGTCAAACCAGGGCTAAAGTATAACTTAACATGGTGCTCAACATTCCTCATTTAAGGGAGAAAGTGCTTTTTTTAAGAGTTGTAATAAAATACAACTTGTTTTCCATAATTTAAAGGAATAGTACACCCAAAACATGATTAGCCTTCATTTTCTACTCACCTCCATGCTGAACAACACTCTGGAGTACTTTTTTGATATCTCAAATGCATCTGGAGATCTGGGAGACTTCTTGCTGTCTGCTGACATTCAAATAATGGAGGTCTATGGCGCCCGAGACAGAAAGGTCCACAAAAGTCCACAAAAACTTGTCAATATTCCTCCATACTGCTCGTCCAATGTAATCCAAGTGTCCTGAGTGGGTAGCATCCAGAATTTACTCGAAACGAAGTCATTTAGAACGTTTTAGAGCCTAAACAGTAGTGTATAGGATTTCCTAATAGCGCCCCCATGCGCGCTCACGATTCTACGGAAGCCGGCAGACCAAACCAGCGCATTCAGCTCGGCAAAGAACTCATGCTCTTCCTCAACACTGAAGTCCTCAGACATTTTTCTTTCGTTGTTTCTTTCTTTGCACAGGTAAACAGCACATTTCTTCTTCTACGCTTGCATTATCGGCAGACCAGACGCTGAATGCGCACTTCCTTCCGGTTTGGTCTGCCGGCTTCCGTAGAATCGTGAGCGCGCATGGGGGCGCTATTAGGAAATCCTATACACTACTGTTTATGCTCTAAAAACATTCTAAATGACTTTGTTTCGAGTAAATTCTGGATGCTACCCACTCAGGACACTTGGATTACATTGGACGAGCAG